CAGAAAATACATGGATACTACAGCAAAGCATCTGACTTCTACAGCAATAGCCGGTCAGGAAATTTTCTACCTAGGAAGCATCCCACATGCAGACAGACTTCTCTAGCATACTTGTGGGCGTCATACCCCAGCACTGCCCTGAGTCCACCTGCGCAACAAAGTCACACGCTACCAAAACCCTGTCTGTCCTAGAAAAGCAAAGCTCAGGCTTCTGCGTCCAAACTCTTCCTGGTGAACTTTAAAGACAAGAGAGTAAGAAGCCATCACAGGCAGCATCTTAGTAACAGAAAACAAAATCCCACACCCTCTTTGTCTTGTTAATGTTTCTAGGTCGGTTCCAATCGTGGTACCTCAGCAACTGAGCAGTCCCAGTAAGCGCATGCCATGAGGAAACTCACAGCCCCTACCCACTTCTGGCTTGGAAAAGGATGGCAGGCTTTCCTGGTGGAAACTTACTCAGCAATGAAACTACCTGGTGCAGAAAGCCAGCTGGTGCAGAAGTCCAGACAGGCAAGAGGTCAGCCAACCCCAACCCTACAGCACGCTAACTCCAAGATCTAGCTGCACCACAGCTCAGCAGCATTTTTTCTTCAGTTTGCCACAACAAGTGAAAACAGCCTGGCAAATTCCAGCGCAGTCAGAATGAGGCTGATGAGGAGACTGAGGACAACTGCTTGGGCTAGGTTACTTTGAAGTCTTCCTCCTGTTGCGATAATCACCACTAAACCTTCACGTGTCACAGACTGAAAACGACTGGCTAAGAAAGCCTGCTACTTGGCAGGATAGGACCCCTATCTCTCCTTCTCTGCAGACTCTTACCCCAGGAAAGAACCATAAACTCCCATTTGCAGCTGAATTGCCATAACAGCTACATTTAACATCACCTTTCAGTTTCACTGCAAAAAAGAATTTGGATAAAATGGGGAGGGCTCTATTACTGCATGACTCATGAAGCAGGCTGCATTACTGCTTTGAAAAAAGAAAAGAAAAGGAAGAGAAAAAAAAAAGAAAAAAGTTATCCACTCCAAATGCTACAGAGTACGTTTGACCTAAGTCTCCAGCATGAATGGCTGTTACAGCCACTTAATAATTTCCACATGAAGATGACACACTTCCATCTTTTTTCTTTAAACTGGAATTTAGTTAAAGTTACAGTGATGTGACATAATTTCTGAAATAGAGGCTTCAGTGCTGAATTCCAATAAAGAAGTCAGAGATGCAATCACTTCTGTACAGCCCAAAATTAGACAAAATAGATTCTCAAGAACATTAAGATGATGACTGTATGATAATGTGTCCTGACAAATTGTCATCTTCTCCCAAAGAGTGAATTTCTGCTTCTAAATATCAAGTTGTAATGTTGCCAACAGCCTTTGTAATGAATAAATTTAAAAAGTCATACGGTACTCTCCTTCATCAAGTCCACTCAATGTTTAAATTTTGAATATTGACTGAACTCTCCCTTTCCAGAGGAGAGGCCACACCTAGAATACTGCGTCCAGTTCTCGGCCCCCCAGTTCAAGAAGGACAGGGAGCTACTGGAGACAGTCCAGCAGTGGGCTAAGAAGATGATGAGGGGGCTGGAGCATCTCTCCTATGAGGAAAGGCTGAGAGACGTGGGTCTCTTTAGCCTGGAGAAGAGAAGACTGAGAGGGGACCTTATCCACACTTATAAATATCTAAAGGGCGGGTGTCAAGAGGATGGGGCCAGGCTTTTCTCAGTGGTGCCCAGTGACAGGACAAGGGGCAACGGGCATAAACTGGAGCACAGGAAGTTCCGCCTCAACACGAGGAAAAACTTCTTTACATCGAGGGTGGCAGAGCCTGGAACAGGCTGCCCAGGGAGGCTGTGGAGTTTCCTTCCCTGGAGATATCCAAAACCCGCCTGGATGCAGTCCTGTGCGACCTGCTGTAGGTGAGCCTGCTCTGGCAGGGGGTTGGACTAGACGATCTCCAGAGATCCCTTCCAACCTCTACGAGCTTGTGATTAAGTGATTCTGTATGAGAGTAGGCCCAGGGAATCCACTCACCTGAATGTATGTTAGCCACATCATCCTACCTGCCTGCAAAATCAAATACTAGCTCTGCTAACACATTCTTCCAGGTGTTGCCAAACCCCATGTTCATGAGTACAGTACAGTCATCTGTTATCAAAGATTAACATCCTCTTTACCTGAGCCCACTTTTTGTTTCTACTTTGCATCTGAATGGCAGCAATAGATGTGAAAAATTCTTCCGAAGGCAAGTCCTCTGGTAGCTTTGTTAAAAACTGGGCTATGTGAATAAAGTCCATTTTGGTCAAAATATCTTCAAAAAGTTTTAATATTCCCAGGGCTGTACGGAATAAGAACTCTTCTCCATCACGGCAGAACACATCCCAGACACGACATGCCAAGTCCAGTGGCAAAGATTTGCTGTACAATGTGAATATCCTGAAAAACAAATAATAGATATATAAAACAAATAGATACTCACAGAAGTACACAGATCGATCATCAGTAAGTTTGGGTCTTTATATTTATAACTGAACGTTTCTTTTTTTATTTCCAAAGTACTTCTACTAGTTGCAGCATACCAATACATGAAACAATATAAAATTCTATAACCACTAAAGCATCTTGCTATCAATCTGGGTCTCCAATTTTCTTGGGTCACACCAGAAGAAACAATATGCATGGTTTTATGACGGACATGCACTGGCCACAGGTGTAATCAAAGGCATATTTAATCATCACTTCAGAGTTGATGATTACGTCAT